TTTCATAATTTAACCCAAAATGTCATAAGTTTTTCACTACAAAAGTCATAACTTTTTTTCACATGAAAAATGGTCATAACAAAATCTCAAAGAGTCATAACAAAAATCACAAAATGTCATAACATTATATCATTCCTAACTTAGTGTGCATATCATAAATTTGTTATTTATAACTTTATACAAAATGTCATAACACATCACAAACAATATAACGTTCATCATAAAAAATCATAACTTTTTTTACAATATGCAGGCAAATTTGGTGAAAAAATAATAAAAGATATACCATATGTATCTTTTTTTATGGTGCATATTGTAACATCTTCCGAATTATATTTGTAAAAGGTCATTACCACAAAATTTTGGTATGAAATTCTGTATAACATTAGAATATGGGAAAGAAACGTGATTGAGTCCCCCAATTTTTCCAACGCCACCACTCTCCACATACACGTGAGGGTTGATTATTGGAAGAAGAGAAATTTTTTTATTTATTTTTTATTTTTCATTTTTCTGGCTATCAGACTCCACTGGGTCCTGTGGATCAACCCCCGTGGGGGTCCGAAACATTATGCTATGGGAAAGCACCTACTATCTTCCGTTTTTATCCTTTTTTTAAGGGGGAAATTAGATAACATATGCAAAGAAAGTTCACGGAACAACAAACGTGAAGGAGGGATGATACATCACACGGTTAAGTTTACCGTGTATGCCCACCGGCTACCAAAAGCTAAAATAAAAAAAATAAAAAAGGGTAAATTATGAATACATTTATTATGATTTGCTTAAAATACATATTGTCTCATGTGATTATAAAAATTATAAGTATTTCTTGTCAAAATTTTTTATTTAACAAAATTAACAGAAAAAATTAAATTTCTAACTACTATCCTATGCAACAATAAAATTATCAGAATTATTAATTAAAATATATTTATGACATCATTAAAAATTATTAATTGATTTTGGTGTCATTTGGGATGGTGCTTTTTAGTTAAAGTAGCTAAAAAGTCAAAACACCTAATCGTATTACTTCTATTTTTTTACATGTCTTTTCATAAAAAGTTAAAAAAAACTAATTAAAATAGTCACATTCCAAACACTTTGTTAATGATTTATTAATAAAATGGCCATTTGTTATGTAATTAAAATTTTAGAGAGATAGTATGTAATTTTCAGAATCACATAACACAATTCATATTTTAAATAAACATTAAGGGAGTGTTTTTGTAATTTATCTGATAAAAAATAAAAGATAAAAACGATTGGATTAGTTTTTCAAAATTATGTTTTTATCTTTAATTTTTTTTTTCAAAAATTAATTTGGTAAAAAATTATGAAAAAAAACTAAGTGAAAGGTAAGTTCTTGTGGTCTAGAAACAATACAGTAAGCTCTATTATTTTTATGTAATTGTATTTTAATTCACACAATACTTAATCTCATTCTTATTAGTAATTTGGTAGTCATATAAATGGAAAAAAAAAAATGATGTTGTTATGTTTTTAAATTAAGATGCATATTTTATTTTATTTTATTTTATTTTCACACCATCTACGTTAGTTCCAATCTTTTAGTTTGAAGGGAGATTTATTAGAAAATCATTTTTCTAGTATTTGTATTCCGATTAATTCATAAGATATTCTTGTATTTCAATAAGTTCTATTATTTGAACATTTGATCTACCAAATCCTAGTTCTCATATTTAAAGTATTTTATGAACATTTCTACCCTTACAAATATTTTTTGATCGATTAGCAATTTAGTGATGTAAGCATTCATATTTTATAATGTGAATATTCACATTGACAGTGTGGACATTCACATCGCAGAATATTTACACTGTAAATGTGAATATTAATAGGGGTAATTTTGTAAATATGTTACCCATAGGACTTATTCAAATATAAAAAAATAATGTGAATTAAATAGAATATAAATAGGTGAAAAGAAATTTATGAAAAAATATCCATAATTTTAATTAAAAAGATGTTTGATTCACATTTTTAAGGCTTGAACTTATTACTTTCCTTATAACTGTTTTTAACGCAAATATAGGCCCCCATGAGAAACATGTATTACAATTTGAGCCAAAATAAAGCGCAAAGTTTCTCAAGTCTCAAACTGCATCGTTGACCAGATGAATTTCGGTGCAACATGGTAAGTGGGAAGAGTAGTCCACTTACAAAACCACAAGGGTCCAAAATTAATTTTTAGTTTTGAAATTCAAAAATTGTTTTAGCTTTTTAGGCTCTGTATTGAGTAAAGTTTTTTCATAGTTATTTTCTTTACTTTTTAAATTTATATCATTTAGATGCATTTAAAACACAAAATATTTGTGTTTAAAAATTTCTTCACAAATACAATTTTCACTAAATTTAAGTGTATTTGGATAGGTTTATTGAAAAAGTTTTTTAAAAAAATATTAAACTATTAAAAATTTCACTAAGACAAAAAAAAAAAAAAAAAAATGAAGACCAAAAAACTCAAATACAATTTCCAAAAACTAAACCAAACACCCAAGGGCTAAAAATATTTTGTCCAGTTTGGTATCATTTTTTTTAAGTTTATATTAAACAGTGAAAAATGCTTGAGATTCCCTTTTTTTAGAGACCTCCTCAATCTTTTTTGGATCTCAACCATTGATATATGTGTGGTACATACTATCAATGGTTAAAATCCAAAGGGAGTTGTGGAGTCTCCAAAAAAAAGGGAGTCTCAATCATTGTTGTTTTAAATTTATGTGAAAATAATTTAAAAAAAAAAAAATTAGAAAACCAGTGTTTGGAGTTTCTTAAAAAGAGCATTGTATTCAATTTTTTCCTTCCAGAAAACAGTTTTCGGAGACTTTCTGCCAAACTATCTATTTTATTTGGTTAGTAGTATGAATGGAAAAGAATAAAAAAAAATATTGCCATCTTTTTTCAATTAATATATATATATATATATATATTTATTTTTATTTATTTTAGTGTGTACCCATCATGAGCATTAATTTTAATCGTTTTAACCATACGAAAAAGAAAATCAATATAATTATATAAAAAATTGTGAACAAACCATATTTTTCTCAAATTTTAAGAAAGTGAATGCAATTTTATATTTAAGGTGTAAATTACACTCCCCTCCTTGAAGTTTGTTAAAAAATAGTCAACCCCACGCTTCTAATATTATCAGAAGATAATAAATTACATCTCAAGATAAATTTAATATCCAAAAGAAGATAATAGAATTGCAAACATAAAACATAAAGATCAAATATAAAGTTAAAAACAACATAAGGATGAAATATTAGCACGACTCGATTAAACCAACTTAAATATTTTTTTAGACACCCTGATATAGTTCAAGCGAGTTGATATTCTGAATTCTCTTGGTGACTAGATGTCTGCTCCATTCCTCGCCAACTATCTTTTTCACTAATCGAACTGTGTGCAATAAGAATAGAATTGCCATTAAACTGCACCACACGATAATTGCAACTGCAATTGTATGACTGAGTGGTTCTCTGTCAATTTTTGGTGTGATCACAACAATAGAAATTGCATATGTTACTGCCATTGATGTAATGGTCAACCACATGATCGCGACTAGGATCCACATGAAAATCCTTCTCTTGAATGGCAACCCACTTATGAGCAACAAGATTGTGCTTAGGGATGCAACAAATCCTACTGTGCTAGCACGAATGAAATATGGGTATGAATTTGGATAATTATAAGCCATTACAGCTTCTCCAGCTCTGTGTCCGTCTGAATTGTCTTGCCAAACACCACCTGGAGGACTCATCCCAGCTTGGAAAGCTATCGTTGCAATCAGCGTTGCCACCAACATTATTGTCTCCTTTTTCTTTGCCAACCACTCAGACTGTCCAACATCCTTGCCGCTCATGGCGCCGGCTTTTCGGAGTTTATTTTTAATATCATCTGAATTTTCCACCTCCTTTCTAATTTGTTCTAGAATGTCCAATGCTGTGTACTTGCTAGCATTTTTTATATTTACATCTAGTTTTGCATTAGTAAGCAAGTAGTCTAAGGCCTGCACCACACACACAAACACACACACAAAAAAAAAAAAAAAAAAAAAACTTAGAAAAACTTTAATTACTTCCCATAATATATTAGTTAGTTGCAACTTTCGCTAAATCATTTTTTTGGTTAAGAAAAAAAAAAAAAATGATCATGGTCATACCTCGATTTGTGTATTCGCCACAGCTAGATGTAATATGGTGTTGCCTTTTTCATCTTTAGCATTCACAAACTCTTTATTTTTAATGGTATTCATAAGTTCTTTCAGACAATGTAACTGGTTGCGCATCATACATAAATGTAAGATGGTCTCACCTCGGTCCATCACGACCTCAGCTGCTTGGGAATTGGCTTGAACTAACAATTTCAACACATCAACCTTGCCTTTCATGACTGCAAGATGTAATGGATTTTTACCATCTTTGTCACGAGTAAGGCACATGTCAGGATCTACCGAAATCAACACTTTTACAACCTCAACGTGCCCCTTTACCGATGCTAGGTGAAGGGGTGAGCGTTGTGAAGAGTCCAGAATGTCAGCAAGATCTGGATTTCGACCCAGAACTTCCCTCACAAATTCTGCATGCCCGCGCAATGCAGCTACATGCAAAGGACTCCAACCGAACCCACCAAAGTTCACTCTATCGAGAACTAGTGGATCATCTTTGAGTATTTGATGTAATAATGTGACATTGCCTTTCATTGCTGCTTCGTGAAGCCTCTGTTCCATTCTCTCTAGCTCTCTATGACAATGAATATGAATAAATTAATAAGCAATGCAAAAGAAAAAGAGCTGTGAATGGCAAAACAAAAAAGCTGTGAATAGAAATGTGAAGCAAGTCTGTATTATTTATAGACCCAAACAGTAGAATATGGGAAAGCACCCGTGGTTCTCAAATAGTTTCAATTTTAGAGGCAAAAGAATTTGATCATTAAAATTCTTATTTGTTGTATATAGTTATTAGTATCTTTTTAATAAAAGACGTGGAATTAAAATTTTTAGTAAATTATAAATACACCATTTGAGACTACTTAAAATACAGATTGTTTCATGTGATTACAAAAATTGATTATTTATATACACATTTAAAAGGGATACATCATATGCACCTTTGGTTATACTATTTTCTTGTTTAGTTATGATCAATTTTTTCTTTAATTATAATATTATTTTAGTTATGACTCAAATTTTTTAATTATATCTCATATTATATTTGATTATGACAATTTTTTTTTTTTTTAATTATGACTTTATAAGGTGCATATATCATAGTATTTCCAATTATTTATGGACACAAACATTAGAATATAGGAAAGCACCCACTATCTTCCATCTTTTGTTTTTTTGGGGGGGAAATTGGATAACATATGCAAAGAAACTTCCCAGAACAACGGGGTGGGATCTTCTGTCCCAAATTTGTGTCCCAACACCCTGTCCCACTCTTCAAGGGCTGCCATCTGTCTATAATTAAAGAGCGAAAAGACTCCGTTAGCTCTCCGTGAACCCATCAAACCTGCGAAAGCGTTGACGTCTCAAACTACCAATTCTTCCTCCTCTTCTTGCCCTTGTATGTCTATTGGCTACCAAAAGCTAAAATAATAAAAAGTAAATTATAAATAAATTTAATGTGATTTACTTAAAGTACAAATTGTTTCATGTGATTATAAAAATTATAAGTATTTATTGTCAAAATTTTTTATTTAATAAAATTAATAAAAAATTAAATTTCCAACTACTATCCTATGCAATAATAAATTTATCATAATTATTAATTAGAATATATTTCTAATATCACTAAAAATTATTAATTGACTTAGGGCATCTACAGTGGACTCACTAAAACACAAGTTAGTGTCAGAGGTTAATTTTTGACCAGTCAAAATTATTGTTTGGCACTGCAGTGGAAATGTTAACTCCTTCGTTTACACTGTCAGATGTTAACATGCTAGCCTCAGATAGCAAACATTTTGGCCAACCTTCACAGGAACAAGAGAGGAAAGAGAGATAGAGAGAAATGGAGTGTGGGATCCACTGGTCGCTAGTAGTCGAAATGACATTGAAGAAGAAGAGAGAGAGAGAAGAGAGGCGAGAGAAAATAAGTTATTAATATTATTATTTTATTAATTTAATATATTTATACATCACTTAACACATATTTTAACATATCCATTATACCGCCACTCACTCTCTAAAATTAACAAACTCTTAACACACCTTAACACATATTTTTGGACCTAATTTTTATCCCTTTTTATCATATAACACACCATGTTTTAGCCACACTATTGTGGATGCTCTTAGGCACTATTTGGGACGGTGCTTTTTGGCTAAAATAATTAAAAAGTCAAAACATCTAATCATATCACTCTTTTTACTTTTCTGTACATCTTTTCGTAAAAAGTTAAAAAATTAATTAAAATAATCCCTTTTCAAACACCCTGCTAATGATTTATTAATAAAAGGGTCATTTATTATGTGATTAAAATTTTGAAGAGACGAGATGTAATTTTCAAAATCACAGAATATAATTTATATTTTAAGTAAATATTAAGGGGTATATTTGTACTTTAGCCGATAAAAAAAAAACAATTGGAATAATTTTTCAAAATTATGTTTGATTGAGTTTTTAGAATTTTTAAATTATATATTTTTTGAAAAATTAATTTGGTAAAAAATTATGAAAAAAAACTAAGTGAAAGGTAAGTTCTTATGGTTTGAAAATAATACAATAAGCTATATTATTTTTACATAATTATATTTTAATTCATATAATACTTTAATCTCATTCTCATTAGTAATTTGATGGTCATATAAATGAAAAAAATGGTGTTGTTATGTTTTTTAAATTAAAATGTATATTTTATGTTCTTTGTTCTTTTTTCTTTATACCATCTATGTTAGTCTCAGTTCTTTAGTTTTAATTAAAAAGAAATTTATATAATTATGTCAAAATTATAAAACTTTCTATATTTTCTTCAATATTGTGTTTGTTCACACAAATACTTCAAAATAAATCTAATACTCAGGTCAAACACTTGATATTTAAATAAGGATATGAAATATGTGTTAGATACTTTTTCCTTAAACTTTTTATTTATTTATTATTTGCTCTTATTTTACTCTGTTGTTACATGTAGGGTTGTGCATAGAGTTATCTGAACCGTAGAAACCACCCAACCCGACCCGAACTACATACAAATGAGCGGTTTCGAGTATAGAGCAGGGTCGGATGCGGTTTAGATTATTCTTTCATTGTGGATTGCGGGTTTCACTTGCACTCGCAAGCACCCGCCCGCACTAAACTTTTTTTTTTTTTTAAATTTAAAAAAACCTGGAATTTGCGTGCTTTAATCGTTGATGTTGGTGCAAATTTAATTTCTAGGCAGAATATTCAATTTGACAAAGTTGAGCCCGAGACCTTGGGTGAAAAGAAATCTATTCTTTTTTTTTATTGTTGATGCTGGTGCAAATGAACATATCTTTATAATATAGTTCCTACCCTAGTATTCTTTCTTTTCTTTTCCTTTTTTATTGTTTAATACTGTTCTACTTATCTTCTAAATGCCAAAAAACACAATGAAAGTCCTTTCTATTTATTTGCGAATCCTATTTACATAAATCGTAATCCACACTGCGGACGGTTGTAGATTCAATTTTTTCCAAACTACAGACATACAGGCAGGTTTAAACAAAAAACTGAACTGTCCAAAATCAATCCGCGATCACCCTAATTATATGTACCACCACACGCATCCCATACGCCTTGTTTTTGGTTCCATCATCACTGATCCTCCTTCTCATAAATTGCTCAGCAATTTCCATCAAATCAACATCATTTTTTTTTATCGGCAAAATGGGATATATTGATATATCAATTGAATACAAGAAGGTAAAGAGAGATACGTCAATAGCAGGAAAGAAAGGGGGGGAGAATGCATCAATGCTTGCAACATACATCCCAAATAAGTTGGCACCTATAAGCAAGCAAAGCAGGCACAACCCCTTTACAAACACAAGGAAAATAGAAGGCGATATGCCAAACTAATACACGAAAGCAACTAACGTAAAGTAGCCACGACACAATGGAGATCAAGAGGTCAAAGAATAGGAGGTTTCTTCTTTTTGTCTTTGATATTCTGAATCTCTTGAATATGGAAAAGGAAGTCATGAATGGTGAAGCCGGAGAAACCAAAACACCATTGCCAGTGCCATCCCCTTGAGGAACCACCCCTTCCTCACTTCTCATACTAAGAATTGTTATTACTATCGAAAGATAGGTAAAAAGTGTATTGAAATGTATCAATTTAGTTTAAAATGTTTATTTAACAATGAGACATCTTTTAATTAGAACTAAAGTCGCATCCGATATTTTTAAAATTTTCAAAAAGGTAATTCCTTACCATTTATTTTTACTTCCCTCTACAAATCTAACATTCAAATAGAACATAACGAAAATTCACACATTAAACATAAAGATCAGACATTAGTATGGCTCAATTGAACTGAATTCGAAGATCCATTTAGATGCCTTAGGAGTGATTTGACCGTGCTGAATTTTTGAATTCTCTTGGCAACTAGATGTCTACTATGTTCCTCCTCAAACGCCTTTCCTATTAAACGAACCATCTGCGCTAAGAGAAGAATTGTCATTAGACTGTACCACACGGTGAGTGCAATTACAGTAGTATGACCGAGTGATGTCTTGTAAATTTTTGGTGCGATCACAATAATAGAAATTGCATATGCTCCTGCCATTGATGTAATTGTCAGCCACATGAGCACAACAAGAATGCACACGAAAATCTTTCTCTTAAATGGCAATCCACTTGTGAGCAGCATGATTGTGCTCAGAGATGTAACAAATCCCATCGTGTTAGCACGGAGGAAATGCGGGAATAATTCTGGAAAATTATAAGCCATTACAGCTTCCCCAGCTATATGTCCATTTGAATTATCTTGCCAAACACCGCCCGGAGGGGTTACCCCCGCTTGAAAAGCTATTGTTGCAATGAGTGATGCCACCACCATTAATGTTTCCTTTTTCTTTGGCAGCCACTGAACCCATGTGAGATCCTTGCCTCTTATGGCTCCAGCTTTTTGGAGTTCATCTTCCATACTATCTATGATATTATCAGAAATTTTCATATCCTTTCTAATTTGTGCAAAAATGTCCAATGCTGTGTACCCGCTAGCATTGGCTAAATTTACATCTACCGTCGCATTAGTAAGCAAGTATTTTAAGACCTGAAAAATGAAAGAAACTTATAACTTAATTGATTATCCGGTTGGCAAAATTATAGTATCACTATCACTATGTATCCTTGCTGGGCCATTTTGGTATTATGTACAAAAGAAAACAAAAATAAGAATGTTGTTATATGCGCTTGTCATTTTTCTTTGGACCCTCACCTCTTCATATTTTTTATGATTACAATTTTATCCATTCATAAAATATCAATTTTATTTCCATCCCAAACCTTAATCGTAACCCTAACCCCACCCCCACTCTTTATCCCCCAGCTTCGGAGGTGGGGGTTGATAGGAGAGGTATGGATGGCTGGAAAATAGGTTGCGGGAGGTAAGGGGTGGAGTAGAGGGAAGGGGTGGGGGTAGGTGGCAAAGTGTAGCCAGAGGTAGGGGATGACGGGTAGGATCCAAAGAAGGATTGGAATTATGGTGGGTGTTTAAAGAAATAATTATGGGAGTCAATTTTGGTAGTATAGGTCCAAAAAGGTGGAGGGTTCAAAGACTATGGTTGGGGCATTTAGCAACGCTCAATGAAAAAAAATCTTAATAATGGTCATACCTCAATTTGTTTATTCGCCACAGCTAGATGTAATATGGTATTGCCTCTACCATCTTTTGCTTCCACAAACTCTTTACTTTTAATAGTATTCACTAATTGCTTGAGAGAATCTAATTGATCGTGCATCACACATAGATGTACGATGGTTTCACCTCGGTCCATGGTAACTTGAGCGGCATGTGGGCAGGCTTGTACCAACACTTTCAATACATCAACCTTACCCTTCATGACGGCAAGATGGAGAGGGTTTCTACCATCTTTGTCACGAGCTAAGCATATGTCTGGATTTGCAGATATCAACGTTTGTGCAATCTTAACGTGCCCTTTAGCTGATGCTAAGTGAAGGGCTGAGTGTTGTGAAGAGTCCAGAACTTCAGTAAGTTCTGGATTCAGATGCAGAACCTCGGTCACGAAGTCTGCATGTCCGTACAATGCAGCCACATGCAAAGGACTCCCACCGAACCAACCGGAGTTAACTCTATGAAGAACTAGTGGATCTTCTTTGACTATTTGATGTAATATTATGACATCGCCTTGGATTGCTGCTTCGTGGAGCCTCTGATCCATTCTCTCTAGCTCTCTTGTGATAATGATAATTATGCACAATGCACAAGAATAAGAGCTGTGACTAGCAAAGTCTGGTGTTTATGGTCACACAAACACTAGAAAATATAGGGAAGCACATACTATATTTTTTGTTGACCTGAGGAATATTAGTACTATCTTTTAGTTTCTCTCTTTCTTTTCTTTGCTTTTCTTTATATATATATATATTTGCAAAGAAACTTCACAGAACATATGACTAGAATAGTTGATATACAAAGAAAAAGGGATAGTTTCATCTCCTTGACTCTTTATCAGAAATTGGGATTCCATCTCTCACTGGATTTCCATTCCCTCACTTCGTCCTCCCCTTATGTTTATATATTGTTTTTCTTTATGCTTTATCAAACAAACAAACAAATAAATAAAAATAAAAATAAATAGTCGCCAAAGTAGACAAACTTTTATTTTATTCTGTTTAACTGGAGTTGCAAATTCATTGGTTATTGACCAAAGCATATTTGTTTGGTAGACATTTATTTATTTGCCAGCACAAAACTCCAAACTAAGTAGGGTTGTCAATAATGGTCAAAACCTCAAAAAGTTAACATTTTTTTATCATATTATTTTTATTTTATTTTATGTGTTAACACGATATTAGCAACAAATAAGAGTAGTAAGACCCATTAAAATATTAACATATTGAATCATAGCATTATTATTGTGGAGTGGAAACCTTGTGCCTACGTTAAAAGCTCGTACTGAACATAACATAGAAGAAAAATAGCATTTTGTATTTGAAAAATCCTATGCAAGTTTCGCAATGTAAAGTTAAGGGTCTGATGAACTAAAGTAATGTCATACAACTTGAAAAAATTATACAAAAAATGATGTGACATGAAAATTTTAAATAATGTATTAATTTCCTTTCAACTAGTTATACACACCTCCTTTGAACAATCGACAATTACAAGAATTTCTCATGTTGTTTATGAAATTATACTGATCTTTCTTACTTTGTTAATAATAAATAAATATATGTATATATATTTCTATATGATACCAAATTTCTTATCAGAATAATCGTAATTTCTTTTAATTTTTCTATAAATTTTTAAGAAACACAAAAACGTTCCTAATGAATTTAGTTTATTTCTATAAAAAAAAAAATTCCAAAAATAGTTGACATTTTTAGATTATTTATTTATTTATTTATTTTTAGACTCGTCTACACAAGACGGATTGAAAAGTTAAAAAGTTTTGATATAAAAATATCACTAAAGACGAAAAAAATTCAGAAAAAAAAAGTGTGATTTTTTTAAGTGGCTGCCAAACACCCATACTTGGAGTAAATCAAACTGATATATTTTGGTTGTATATGTTGGCTTCAGCCCACATGGAGGAGTAGTTGGAGGTTGGCTCCAAGTCAAGAAGTAGGAGGGGAGATGTTAGGTGACAGTCTTCTCAATTACTCCTCTTTCTTGACTTTGTTCCCTCTCGTTTGTGTATAAATTGAGGTGATGGGGAAGGGATGAAACACAACACAGACAGAGCAAGAGAGAATCAGAGAGTGTGTGTGTAAATCTATAGTGAAATCTCCCTCCGGAAAATTCTATAGTAAAATCTCTCCGTGGACGTAGGCAATCGTCGAACCACGTAAATATCTTATGTCTTTTCTTTGTGTGATTGATTTCTGGGTGTGCCTAAACCTAACAAGTGGTATCAAAGCCTCATTCGTCGATTTTTTGAAAAAACAGGGTGTATTTTTCAAAACTGCCAAAAATCAAGTTGCTCGAAATTCACTTTTGAGCATACTAGGAGAAAGCTTTTGATGAGAGAAGTCAAGAATTGCAAAGCAAAGCTCCAGACGAGGCTCCACACGCTCTCGCGCGCTATATAAAAAAGGTGAGTGAAACCCAGTTGCAGGCATGTGCTTCACGCGTCATTACCTGTACTGACACGTTACCCTAGTCGCGGATACGCGCCAGATGCGCGGTGGAAGGAAAAAGGAGAGTGTTTTGTGCGTGATAGTGACGTCACTGCCACGTGTCAGAGTCACCTCATCGCCACGTCAGCACCGTATCATTACCGCGTTAACGACACGTTAGCCTCAGTTGATTGTTGACTGGTCGGGTTGACCCGACCCAACCCAGAGGTAAAGGGTTATCTGGTGCTACGCGGCTAAGGTACATCCGCAGATCTAAACTATCGAACTTATTTTGGCTAGATCTGAGCCATTTGAAGTACATTTTTGATGATCCAATAGCTGTTTCCAACTATTTAGAGTGTTCCAAAGCGATCCGTATGATCAAATTTTTGAATCAGAGTTTCTGCAAAAAGTAAAGAAGACGATGAAGGAATTCATATTAACTTCAAGATCCATGATCAAGTTGAATCCTTCCAATTATGCAATCTGGAAGCTGTGGATAGAAGACATCCTATATTATAAAGACCTGTTTGACCTTATTGTTCCAAAAGGGGTTAAATCAGAAGAAGTGAAGGATGAAGACTAGATAAAGATAAACCGGAAGACTGTCGGTTGTATCAGACAATGGATAGACCACAGTTTGTCTCACCATGTTGCTTAGGAGACAGATGCATATGTCCTTTCGACAATGTTAGAAGGAATGTACTAGTCAAAGACCACTCAAAACAAAGCCTTGGTGATGAGAAGGCTTGTAAATCTGAAGTTGAAGAATAGTGTGTCTGTCGCCGAGCACACCAGCGAATTCAAGAATCAGGTGAATCAACTTGCAACCGTCAAGATGCCCTTGGATGATGAAATGCAAACCGTTCTACTGCTCAGTTCTTTACCAGATAGCTAGGAAACGTTGGTGGTTTCTCTCAATAACTTTGCACCAGAAGGGAAGCTGACCATGAGTATGGTCACAGATGCCATGTACAATGAAAAGACAAGGAAGAAAGACATGAGAGGTAATCAGTCCCACGCTTTTGTCACAGAAGATAGAGGTAGAGACAGAGGTAGAGGAAGAAACAGAGGAAGAAGCAAGAGTAACGAAAGATAGAACAACATGAGTAAATCTAGAGACAACAAAAGTCAAGGTAACTCTAGCTTTACTTGCTTTCACTGTGGCCAGGAGGGTCACATAAAGAGGAATTATCCAAGTCGGAAAGATAAAGGCCAAAACAGTAAGTCAAAGGGAGATGAGAACACAACAGCCACAACAACTGATGAAATATTTCTTGCAATTGGTGAAGAGGAGGATTGCCTTTACGTGGCTGACCACAGCTATACAGAGTGGGTGATAGACACAGCTGCATCCTATCACGCCACTTCCCACAAAGAACTCTTCAGCTCGTACAACGTTGGAGATTTTGGTACTGTTCAAATGGAAAATTCTAGCTATTCGAAGATTGTGGGCATTGGAGACATTAGTATTCAGACTAATGTCGGACACAAGATGGTTTTAAAAAATGTTAGGCATGTAAGGCATGTTTCAGAATTGTATCTGTTAGCAAAGCAATCCAAGATACCTTTATCCAAATGGAGTGCCTTGAAGCCGTGCGATTATTGCCTTTATGGCAAGCAGCATCGAGTATCATTCAGTTCAACGAGCAAGAGGAAAATAGAAGTGCTTAGTATGGTATACTGGGATGTTTATGGCCCAATCGAAGTGGAGTCACTTGGCAGCCGCAAATATTTTTTGATCTTCATTGATGATGCATCAAGAAAGTTGTGGGTGTATTTCCTGAAAACGAAGGATAAGGTATTCCAGCACTTTCAGGAGTTCCATGTAATGGTAGAAAGAGAAAGTGGGAAGAAGTTGAAGTGTCTTCACACAGACGATGGTGGCGAGTACACTTCCAATGTTTTTGAAGCACATTGTGCTAGCAGAGGTATCCGGCATGAGACAACAGTTCCCGGTACCCCACAACACAATGGTGTAGCAGAAAGGATGAACTACACTATTGTTGAAAGAGTCAGATGCATGCTTAGAATGGAAAAATTGCCAAAGTCATTCTGGGTTGAAGCCGCCCGTACAGCCTGTTATCTCATCAACAGGTCGCCTTCAGTCCCGTTGAATTTTGTGATACCTGAGGAAGTTTAGTCCACAAGAAAGATATCATATTCTCAAGTTGATGACAAGTCCACTCCATGTATCGGGTGTAAGGCGTGAACGTAGACAATTGCCGAATCACGTAAATATCTTGTGTCTTTTCTATGCGTGATTGATTTCTAGGTGTGCCTAAACCTAACAGTATATGGTATTCTCAATATATTGATGAATGATTGTTGGATTGAATAAATGTTTGTTTCTCATAGGAGGTGGCTGTGGCAATGGTGGATTTTGTTTAAAGGAAATTGCTTGGTAATTTATGAGAAGGAGAAAGAGTGATGGTGGAAACCAAAACCATATCATATATATATATATATAGTGGTTTTTTTTTTTATTTATTTATTTATTTTTATGTGGCACATTCTAAAGGCTTAATTTTTTTTTTCTAAAAAAGACACATCAGTATGCATTTTCTATACACATATAAAGTTCAATTATAACAACCAATTTTATATAGACTCTATTTGAGAAATATTTATTTTTCATTGTGCATTTAATTTTAATTTAGTTTTATCATTGTCAGATTTCTCATGTGTCCAAATAAGGCAAAAACACTAATTTGAATGAAACAGCCCGTGCTCGGAAAAGCATGAATTTTGGTGGACTGATGAAAAATATCGTTTTGATCATGATCCATCGCTTTGTCATGGACCTAGTAAATTTTGGATAAATTCCATCATTTACATTGTCAATTTTAATATTATTTTTTTTTTTCATTTTTATAAAGATTTGCATCTCTATAGAATTCGATTCCATCAAATGAGTGAGTTTTTTGTGAGAATTAATGTTGGTGGAGAATGATGGGTTAGTGAGTTGCGTTGTAAGGATAAAATCGAAAATATGGCCTATTAATTTGGAGTAGGGTTTGTAGGATATTAATACAATCCATATCACCCGACCATAAGTCTCTAAATATTTAAGGATAACTACGGGCTGGTCCTATTA